CCCTCCGGCCACAATGCGGCCGGCCGCACGGGATCGCAAGGCACATTATGCCTGCGGTCCGGTCTGATCAAAATGCTGTAAGCACTATTTTGATTGCACCGGACCGCAGACATAATGTGCTCTGCGATCCCGTGCGGCCGACCGCCTACTATGCCATTAACTTCAATGGACCGCCACGCCCCCTCCTGCCCCACAAAAAAAGTTGAGCCAGCTGCAATGCAAGGCAGTGCGTTCTGGCTAGAATCGGGCCGGAACGCAGTGCATCTGGTGTGAACGGGCCCTAAGATGGAATTTATCTCACTTTTGGAATTTTGGATTTTCTTTTACTTTCTGAAGTGCAAACAGGAAAGAAAATGAAAGAAAATCCTATGAATCGGACAAAGATAGTTACATAGTTAGTCAGGTTGAAAAAAGACACAAGTCCATCGAGTCCAACCTATAGAGATACAAAGAAAAAAAAAAAAGAAGAAAAGTCTGAACAGGACACTATGCCCACAATTACACCCTGTTGATCCAGAGGAAGGCAAAAAAAACCCCTATAAAGCATGGTTCAATTTGCTCCAAATTGAACCAGATGGCAAAAAAAAAAAAAAAACTGATGGTGTTTATCCCTTCACTACTATATCCAAGTGTTTGCCTTGATATACCTTAATGCCTATACGCTGTATGTCCCATTTATTGGTGTTCTCACTGATGGCAAGTGAATGTAACTGCAATGTAAGACCTCTGTTTTGCAACTAGAAACAGGATTAGACAGGTCCTCTTCACTGATTGGTAGGATTTGAGCTGAGGAATTGTTGGAGTGCACCGGGCACAAGCATGGCCGTGTTAGAACTTGTTACTGGCCCCTTCTAGGCTCGAGAGATCAGTGAAAAGAATTCAATAGGGATGGGAAAGACAATTGTGGAATTCTGTTCTGCTGCGATATGTGACAATGTCTGTAGATATCGGAGCTGGAGGGCGGCCGGAGAATCCGACATGATCACTGCTGCTTCTTTAAGGGCCCGAGAAGCATTCATCTCCCCTTCTGCTGCAACAACCTGCATCAAACACAGTGAGCGGCATGAATGAAAATCCTTTTATCCAGAAGCGTTTTACTTTTTGTTGGTTTCACTTTACATTTGTGTTTAAAAACATTCTAATATCTGTGTATTTAAGGCCTCATTCACACCAGGGCGACAGCGTTTCAGCGCGTTTTACGCACGTTTTTGTAAGTGCGTTTTTTATGCGCGTTTCAGCAATAAAACTCGATGACAAATGCACAAAAACCTGCTGCTCAGTGCGTTTCTATGGAAGTTAGGGACGTGTGTTCTGCTGTGGGGACATGTTGGAAAGCATTGCAATCATGATCACAGCTGCAAAGCTCAGGCTTCTGCATATTCTCCTAACTGAAACTCCGTACCTCACTACCAGCTCTGACAGCTTAAAAATATGCAGAAGCCTGAGCTTTGCAGCTGTGATCACAATTGCAAAATTTAACTTTTCGGCCGATGATCGAATAGTCGTACGGCAGCCCCATCCTGCCCTGATGATCGCAAGATTAATTTAGCCGTAATTAACGAAAAGCACCTGGACGAAATGCGGTAATTGATTTGTCGTATTTTCGTTCGCGCATGCGCAGTGTAGATCGTACGACTTTTGACGGACGTAAACGCCAGCAACCTTACGACAATCGTACGATCGAGCAAAGTCTTCAAACATGCTTGACCGTCAAAAGTCGTACGATTGTACAGTAATGTCGGTTCGGGCACTCTATTCACACGTATGATTGTCGTTCGAAAAGTCGATCGCATACGATTATCATACGATAATCGTAAGGTGTATGGGCACCTTTAGGGAGATTTTTTTTTTTCTCGCTTCCTGTCCCTGTGACTCTCTACAAAAAATAAGGGGTGTGGTTGTCACTGGCACAGGAAGCCACAGATTGCGATAAAATTGTCAGGAGCTCTAACTCTTCCCCACTGTGCTGAAACTAAAAATCCCATCATGCTTCTGCCCCTGGGAGTCATGCCTGTGGCTTGCAATGTCTTATGGGATTTGTAGTTTCAGCACAGCTGGAGAGCCGAGGTTGCCTACCCCTGTCTAGATTGTTCACTTCTCCTGCCTTCTCCAAACTCTTCACCCTTTTGTGAATTGACCTGCAAATAAAAGTTTTGGCTGATTTGGACTTTAGTAATTTGGTACCACGGCAACAGTTCCAGTTCCTATTTTCTTCCACCATGTCTGCCCTGGCCGTCACTTTCCTTACTACAGGTCCTGTAATCAGGACACAAATCAATCATGTGTATGGGAGTCACAGTTCAGAATGTATGATTTCACAAGGTTTATTCAGATGTCTGAAAAACAGATCTTACTACGACATTACAGAATGAGAATAGGCTTTTGGCCGGGTTCACGCCACAAAGTCTGCTTTCTAGAGTGTTCAGCCTGGAAGTTAAAGGAGAACTATGAGGTGAGTGAATATCCCTCATCCTCATAGTTCGAGCCGACATGTGACCATGAAACTGTCACACGTCAGCTCAATA